AAAGTCATTGCGTCTGTGAATATTGCGGATTTTTCTCCAGATCTGGAAAAGGCCCTTCTGAGAGATATCTCCTGACCATTCCTCGTCGTCAGCTACGAGTTTGAAACTCTCAAGAAGTGAGCTGGGAATGTTTTCTTCCCAGAGTTGAATAGGATTCGTCTGTGTCTGCTGTGTTGGAACAGCGGATTCCTCCAATAGTTGCCGTTGTGTTTGATTCAGTTGTTTTGCGTAGTTGATTGCCTCGGGGTTGAATGGATGCAGACCTGTGGCACGGAATCCACTGCTGAGAAGTTCTTCCCAGTTCAATTTCTCAATAGCTTGCTTCAGAACACCTCCAAAATGCTCATTTTTCAATTTATCACCGCCATTGGCGAGCCTCCATTCTGGAACTACTTTTTTCCAGGCCGCCTTCAATGGATGAAAAACTGCGACGTCTAGAGGCTGAAGAATATGAGTAGAATTGGGGTAAAGTGCGATAACTTCTATGCTATTCTCCCGACACCAATCACTCAGCTCAAGAGTCAGGTGAGATGAGTGTCCATCCACAAACAAGACAACTGGAAGTTGAATTTTATTTTCGATGAGCCAAGGATGAAAAGAATTACGTATCCAGTCCAAAAAAGAAGTTGCCGTCATCCACCCAGTGTCTGAGCGACCAATCGTGTAGTTTTTAGGCATAAGAGATGCAACAGTGGAGGGTATGCGAACGTACTTGAACATTATCATGGGTGGCAAGAGTTGGCCATCGGCGTTTCCACAAAACAGTACAGTGCGACATTCCTTATCGTCATTCTTTACGATGTTATATGTAGATCGATCACCTGTTTTTGTCAGAACTTTTTGCCCGGGTGGACAGAGAGCGAACGACGATTCATCGCAATTGAAGATCCGTGATCCATGGATATCCAATAAATCTTTCTCAAGCAAATAATTTTTTTGCTTTTGAAACCACTGGCGAATTCTCTCCTCAGTGACTTCAGCTCGACGATACATCATATTCTGCGACATTCTTTCACTGATTTCTGGATGGCGTTTCATAAAACCCTCATACCAATGCCTTCCAGGACAATCATTAGTGAAAATGTTGTTCATTTTTGTCGATTTCATAAGTCGTTGGACAGAATTCAACAGTTGATCCTTGATAATAGGGTGTCCCTGTTCACTCATGTATAGAGCCCACTCGACGAGTTTCTTCTCAGTAACTTCCCCTAATATACTCGCAGGACCTGGTCTTTTTAATACAGGCTTGGAAATGCCCTTGTTCTTCAAAAATAATGTTGATTTGGGAATGTTAAACTGTTTGCTTGCCGATCCAAGGGCCATTCCGGCCCGTACAGCCTTGAGAGCTTGTTGTAATGCCTCATTTGTGTAACTTGGAGCACGTAATTTGTCCTTTCTAGTCTTAGTCCTGAAAGTTTTTAAAATTTATCATTTCTTCTTACATGCCTTTTTAAAAATTTAATTCCACTGTTTGTTCTCTTCTCACCATTTTCATTTTTAAACGAAGAGGGAGAAAAAATTGCAATAGCAATGAGAATAAAAGAAAACAAAAATTGAGGTTAGAAGTTCAGAATATAATCGTCTATCAACTGGTACAACGTCAAATTTCAATGACCCAGTTGCTAAATTTTATGTTTTCTTTTACACAAAATCATGCTTTTTCATTCTTTTGTTTCTGCTTTCGTTCTGAAATGTCCCCTTAATTATTACGAACCGATAAATATCAATTTTATACTTACATTTTATTGTTTCACCCTTATGCAACCTGAGGCGATTTTAACCACTACACGTTCCACAACATCGATTAGACAGGAAATCTGAGACAGCTCTCAAGAAAAATGATTTTTCCAACTTTTCAGCGGGTCGTTTGATTTGGAGGAAGCTTGCAACTGATAACAAAATAATCCCGCTTGTTGATTCGCAGAAAATATTGCACGTTTATGATGCCGCGAGTTTAATTTATTACAAATTGTCTCGCGAGAGCGCACTGCGTCTACGAATCGGGACTCGTGCATGAATTGGGACAGTGACGGTATAGAGAATTGTAATTGAATGAGAACATTTTCTTTTATTTGATCAAACGAATATTTACGAATTTTCACGGAGGAAGATAAAAATAGGAGGAACTTAGAATATGGAGGATGAGGCCCAAAGGGCCCGAGGGTCAGGAAAGGCGATGCTAGGTGAGGGGAATTACTCAGTTTTTGTGAGGGATCATAAATGGCAGACTGAGGAAAGTTGGTGTGAGGATTGGCCCAGCCATAAAGGCATAAAGAACATGAAAATGAAAAGTGGTAAAATGGTAAAATCTATACATTTGATCACCAAATGTGAACCATAAACGCAAAACTTTAATTTACCCTGTCTTCACCTTTATGGTTGGACTGATGGAGGTGTTGGGGAAAATGTAAGAATTTTGGAAAACAAGAAGACAGAGAATTTTTAATGGGGGAACGACCCAAAGGGGAATTCCCGAAGGCTCTAAGATTCGCCTGTTTGTACGATCCACACATTCCGCGTCGGAACATACTCCCCTGCTACAAAATATTGAGGAGCAATTGAAAATCTTATAGTCGGTAATCTAGAACTATATTAATTGACACGTTTTTCATCTCGTTCGTCGTTATACAGTAAGGGCGCGAGCTTCTTGACGTTGCGATCAAATATCCCCTTGGCTGTTTTCAATGTCACAGTTCGAATGATGTTGTCATTGCCTGGATGAGTGTGGATGACTCTGCCTAGGGCCCATTGTTGTGCTGGTAGATTGTCTTCTTTTATCAGAACTATGGTGCCTTCTTTGATGAAGTGTTCTCCCTTAACCCATTTTGATCGCAGACTTAGTTCGCTTATGTATTCTCGGTGCCACCGACTCCAAAAGTCTTGCTTAAGTTTCTGAATATGCTGCCAGGATGATAATCGATTGGTTGGAGTTTGTGAGAAATCGGGGCCGCGAAGATTCGTTACAGAGTCTCCGATCAGAAAATGTCCAGGCGTGAGGGCAATAACATCGTTCGGATCTGATGAAATTGGTGTAATTGGCGGTGAATTCAAAACCCCTTCTATTTCGATGACGAGTGTGTTGAAGGCTTCGAAACTCAAAAGTTCATCTGTCACTATGCGTTTCGAATGATGCTTGAATGATTTAACTGCAGCCTCCCACAGACCTCCAAAGTGAGGTGACTGAGGTGGTATGAAATGCCATTGGATCGATTTTGATGAAGTGTAATTTTCGATTTTGGCTCGATTTTCTTCATTCTTGAGAAATGCATAGATTTCTGTAAGTTCATTATTTGCTCCCACGAAGTTTGTTCCATTATCAGAATATAGATTGATGCACATACCTCTCCGTGCGACGAATCGACGTAGGGCAGCAATAAATGTTTCGGCGGAGAGATCGCTGACGACTTCCAAATATATGGCCTTCACGGCGAGGCATACAAAAACTGCGACCCAAATCTTCACTCGGCCCTTGTTACGGAATTTCCTTTCCTTTATGAAAAAAGGTCCGCAATAGTCGACTCCGACGTTAGAGAAGGGACGAGACTCTGTTACACGAGCCGTTGGTAAGCTCCCCATGATATAATCAATTGACGGGGGCTTGTGACGAATACATTTAACGCAACTGCAGACAATTTGTCGAGTTACATTTCTTCCATTGAGTGGCCAAAATCGACGACGAGTAGCATAGAGTGTGGCCTGCGATCCAGCGTGTAGATGCTCGATGTGCTCATTTTCGATGATGAGTCTGGTAACATGGTGACGTTTCGGCAAGATGAGAGGATGACGTTGGGAAAATGGAAACTGAGCATTTCTTAATCGACCACCAACTCGTAAGAGTCCCCGTTTGTCCAGAAAGGGACTGAGCTTATTGAATTTTGCCAATTCTGATTGCTGAGTTGGAGATTTAACATCTTGACGTAATGCTCTGATCACCGGGGCGAAAGTTTCTTCTTGTACCCAATAAATGATTGCCTGAAGAGCAGCCTCCAATTCTTCAGCTGCCATTGGACCAGTTTTGCGATTTTTCAGTCTGAGGCAATGTGCGATTATTCGTTGGAGTTTTTTCATCGATGAATACCAGGTAAGAGCGTTTCCTTGTCGTGAGATTTTCCCGTTTGTGCTATGAGAAATGGCGAGGCATACCCTGGCTGGTCTAAGTTTCGGCTTCCTTTCTTCGGGCGCTGATAATGAGAATTCGAGTTGTAAATTAGGCCAGGTGGTTTCTTCAGATGCTAGCCAGGGTGCTCCCATCAGCCAAAGTGATGGTTTTATGAACTCTGAGGGAACCTGTCCTCGAGACACCAGATCTGCTGGATTCTCATGAGTCCTCACGTGCTTCCAATTACTGATGTTGGTTTTTTCCTGAATATTCATGACTCTGTTGCTTAGAAATACAGGCAATGTATTTGAAGAAGTATTTAACCAGTGCAGAACGACAGTGGAGTCCGTCCAATAACATATTCGATCAATTCGGTGGTGAATGCATCTTTTCAAATTGTCAACTAGAGTCGTTAGGAGTAAGGCACCGCACAATTCTAACCGTGGAATTGTTTGCTTTTTGAGTGGAGCAACTCTGGACTTAGCACACAAAAGGCTGACACTGATATTCCCATCTTTATCCTTTGATCTTAGATAGACACAGGCTCCATACGCTGCTCGACTAGCATCGCAAAATCCGTGGAGCTGTAGCTCAATAGCTTCTTTGATTCGCACTCCGCGTGGGAACTTGATCGTTTGAACAAGTGGTAATTCTTTGTAATAATTACTCCATTCCTCCTGAATATCTGGTGGCAGTGGTGTGTCCCAGTGAACCTTCAACTCCCAGAGTTTTTGGATGAATGTTTTTGCTATAATGACAACAGGTGATAGTAGACCTAGTGGATCGAATAATTTTGCTGTTTCGGAGAGGATAACTCTTTTCGTTATTGGCACATCGGTTGAGGATTTCACGAAATATTGGATTGAGTCCATCGTAGAGTTCCAAGCAAGCCCCAAGGTTTTCAATGTCTTGGAGTCTCCCAGTAGTAAATGGCGATTGATATCATCGGGTGTAACTTCTTGAAGCAGTAAAGGATCATTGGAGGCCCATTGACGAAACTTGAAGCCTCCCCTTGGACAAGACGCTCAGCCTCTTGCTGGATAGCGATGGCTCCTTGCCTCGTGTCTGCTCCTGATATCAAATCGTCTACATAACAATCGTTCTTCAAGGCTTGAACGCCAATCGGGTATAAATGGCCGTCATCTTCAACCAGCTGGTGAATTGACCTAATTGCTAGATATGGTGCTGCTGAGAGGCCGAAAGTCACAGTATTGAGTCGAAAGGTTCGTACAGGTCCGTCATCATTACGCCACAAAATCCGTTGATACTTCCGATCTTCTGGCCTCACGAGAACTTGCCTGTACATTTTTTCAATGTCAGCGGTCACGACAAAATAATGGATGCGGAATCGTATGAGTAATGCAAAAATGTCATCCTGAATAGTTGGTCCAACATACAGCGTCTCATTCAACGAGATTCCAGTATGTGTTTTGGCTGACCCATCAAAGACTACTCTAACTTTTGTCGTGAGGCTGCCTTCTTTGAACACTGCATGATGTGGCAAGTAATATCCGTAATCGACTAGTGAAGAGGGACTTACTTCCTCCATGTGTCCTAGGTCAATGTATTCCTGGAGAACTCCATTGTACTGCTGAGCAAGTTCTGGATTTAATTTCAAGTTTCTTTCACATGATTTCCAGCGATTGTATGCGCGTGATCGCGATTCTCCGAGTCTACCAATGTTATTGTTGAATGGTAGCGTGACAATGTATCTTCCTGTGGAATTGCGAGTGACGTGATTTTTGTAATGTTGTTCGGCAATAGTTTCTGTATCTGTGGGCACAGTAGTGGATACTGGTTCTTCAATCTCCCAGAATCTAGCCAATTCGAACTCTGAAGCCTTGGTGGTCGTGACATGGCATGAATGGTTTTGTTTGGGATTAGAAGTGGGTGCTCCCCCTCCGATCACCCATCCCAGAGAAGTTCTTAATAAATAGAGCTCTGGTTGATCTTTGGGAGATAATCGCATCTTATCAGTTCCTAAAAGTCCAATAGTGGTCCCTGTTCCGATTAACATGTCAATAGGTGCTGGACAGAAGAAATCTGGATCAGCAAGTTTCAGATGATTTGGTTTTCTTATTTTATCTCTGTCGAGTGGTTGACCAGGTACAGTCTCTGAGATGCTGGGAATGATCAAAAATGTCAATTTTCTTTTCTCATCATTGATTCGCGATTTTATAGTGGTAGTTACTATTTGCTGAGTTTTTGTTAGGAGATTATGCAATCCTCCAATGGATGCCAAAAATTTTTTCCGATGGAGACCTAGTACTGTGGCTAGCCTTTCTGTGATCAGATTTGTAGTGGAGCAGCTGTCGAGTAGTGTGCGACAATTTATGAATTCATTATCATTCTTCATTACCTTTATCTTGGCAGTGACCATGAGCTCGCAAGTTGACGCATTAACAATGAGAGATGTGTGATTTGGAGAACATCCTGACGATTGATGGCCTTCTAGTCATGCTGAACTATTTGAACGATTTGTAGAGCTCGTTGGGGTCAGAGCTTCCTTCTGGATGTCCTCCGCGTTGTCTTCTGTTCTATGCAGGAGTGTATTATGTCTTTCTTGACATATTGAGCAACCACGCGAATTGCATCTGGTGACTGTGTGTCCTGGTGACAGGCAGTTAATGCACAGGTTGATTCTCTTTGCCTCCTTGTATCTAAGCTTAGGCGTGAGTTGCTTAAATTTGGGGCACCTCATAATGCCCCATACACATCCTGATTTTCCATACACATCCTGCACTTCACTTCGTTTGTCACTGCAGTGGTTATGAACGTTTGTTTATCTCGTCGAGGGCGTATGAAGCTACTCTCTTGATCGTTAGTTGGCCTTGAACACTTGGATCGTTTCTTCAAGAAGGCCAATAGCTCAGTGTATTTGGGCAATTCTTTTGGGCAGCTCGGTGCAAGTCCCAATGACTTGCTGTGTAAGAACTGATTTTTGACAAGAGTAAGTGCACCAGAGGAATGTCCCAACCTTCAACGTTTTCGCCCAGATTCTTCAATTGCATTAAATGTTGGTTAAATGTATCGATCAGCTTACTCAGTGATTGAGGCGTGTCTCTTTGTGGACGTGGATGTGCAACAAGCCGTTGCCAGTGGCTAAAAATTATTTTCTCTTTATCTTCGAATTTTTCCTTTAATATGTCTAGTGCTGTAAAGTAATTGGCATCCGTGGTCCTCAGTGAAGAAATCGCCTCTGCAGCTGGCCCTTCCAGATGAGTTCTTAAATGCTGTAGCTTTTCCACTGGCGATAATGCGTGTTTATCGATGGTTGCCATGAAGGCGTCATAAAACATAGGCCATTTCTCAACGTTTCCGTTGAATTTACCAAAATCAACTACTGGTAATCGTGACCATAATCCTGACACTTGATTCGATGTTTCCGATCCGAGTGATTGGTTCAAGTTGTTTGCTGACGGTGGGTTTGCAGGTGTCAGAATTCTCAATGCCTCTCCATGAGCCTCATCGTACATTGCTTGAACTTCGAAGCGCCTTGGTGATTCTAATTCATCCAATTCTTCAATTTTGTTTTGTATGGCCTCAAATGGTTCATACCTTTTCTTGAGTCCTTCCCAAGCAGCTTGGATTTTCTCTGGTATGCGTTCTTCCACTCTCTCGGCATTGTATGTATCCACAAGAGCTTGGAAATTTCTAATTGCCCCCTGGATGTTTCCACGTTCCCTTCTAAGGGTACTGATTGAATCGGCCATTGTTACCTCAATATTAGGAATAGCCGAAGTTTTTCTTGGAGGCGAATGTGCGACACTCATTCAGTATGGTTCACAATTAGCACTATATGCTGACTGTCATATCCAATGATATGTGAATAAGAGATGTCTTTATTGCATGAATTGCAATGATCCGTCACTGTGTCTGTATTTCAACAACAATATGTCGATTTAGCGAAAGGCACTTGTAAGTTTCCACTTGCTGATTCAGTATCCGGCTCGAAGGACCATAAAATGTTCGGGTAGAGAGCTATTTTTTACACGAACAGTAGGAAGGCGAATTGTCTATGCAAATAATTGATTAACACAAACACTGATATGAAAATGAAACTATATTATTCTCAACACAGAGATGTACAAAATTGATGGATGAGAACTCGCAAGTAGGAAAAGGTTGATGTGTTCACAATGAACTCGTTTTCGCAACTGTCTGTTTGGAAAGTAAGGAAATGTGAAATGGAAATTCTGCAAGGGCGGGGGATGAATGAAAAGAGACGTGATTGGTTACTTACGAACTGGGAAGGCAATTTGATTGGAGGAATTTTCACGGAGGAAAATAAAAATAGGAGGAACTTAGAATATGGAGGATGAGGCCCAAAGGGCCCGAGGGTCAGGAAAGGCGATGCTAGGTGAGGGGAATTACTCAGTTTTTGTGAGGGATCATAAATGGCAGACTGAGGAAAGTTGGTGTGAGGATTGGCCCAGCCATAAAGGCATAAAGAACATGAAAATGAAAAGTGGTAAAATGGTAAAATCTATACATTTGATCACCAAATGTGAACCATAAACGCAAAACTTTAATTTACCCTGTCTTCACCTTTATGGTTGGACTGATGGAGGTGTTGGGGAAAATGTAAGAATTTTGGAAAACAAGAAGACAGAGAATTTTTAATGGGGGAACGACCCAAAGGGGAATTCCCGAAGGCTCTAAGATTTGCCTGTTTGCACGCTCCACACATTCCGCGTCGGAACAATTTACAAATACATTATCAATCCTTAAGGTATTTAGAACAGTTTTTTAATTTTCTTATGAATATTCTCCTCAACTTAAAGACCATTTTCATTGACAATGGGACCCGAGAGTGTCATATGATATTGTTCAATATTTATGTAACCATGTATGTCCATGGGCACACGAACAAGTTCTCTCATGGTCATTAGATCATACCATTGACATAAGACTCCAATTTCTTTGGGGTTGTTTTTGACATAGGCAAACGAACTAGAATATTCTTGGTTCCTTAAAGTCTTTCCCTCTAAATAGACAAAACATAATACAAGTCCAATGAAATACTTATTAGCATTATCAATCTTCTTGAACATACAGTAATCACCAATGTGAATTTCATCACATTTCTTAATAAAATTTTTCTCTTCATTGAACTTCGATTTATTGCTTTGCTAATACTCCTTCTTTTTCATTACCTTAGAATCTTTAACTCTCTGTAACCTATCAGTACTCAAACTAAATGGGTTATTGCTTAAGAGCCTACAAATTGACGACTTTCTTACAATTAATTCATTATTCGCGCGATCTTTTACGACCACAAAAGCACTTCGTGGATGGAGCTTAATGGTTAATGCATCAAAAACTTTCAATTGTATTTCACCTTGAACTGCAGAGAGAGTTGTCAAGTCCTGTAACAAATTTTCATTATTTCCTTCTGGACTGTCAATCACATTTGTTTCTGGGTTTTCTGTGATTCCATTCTCTGTATTTTCTTCTACGTTACCTTTGTCTATATATATTTCATCATTATCGTTATTATCATTACTCTGAGTCCCTGCCAGTTTACAAAATCTTTTATCACACTCACTCACATCGACATTAATTCCCACGTATTTTATTTTCGAAAACGCATCTCTCTTTGCAGTTTCCATTACTCCCATAATTTCTTTTGTATCACGTAATAACCATCCAGAACTTGCTTGATTCTGATTCTGATCCTTCTTCACGCGCGGGAATTTAAATTGTTCTGTCTGTTCATGTAAATGACCATCAGAAATATCTTCTTGTAATTGAATCCGTTTGACTCTGGAGGGTTTCAAGAAGACGACAATTAACAATAGTACAGCACGTGCTGGTCATGGATCGCAGTGATAAAAAATATCTTTTGTCTGTATGTCGAAGAATATTTTTCCAGCGAATAGGAATGAGAAATCGCCTTCGGTAGCAGTTTCATATTCGCTAGAGAAATATTCTTTTCACAAATATTCGATTCACATCAGTGACGGAAAATACTGTGAGGAATGAATAATCATGAGGATTAATAGACGAAAATTACAATATAATGTTTAATTGTTGAAATCGAGATGCAAAGGTCTGAATTACACAAAAAAATATGCCATCGAAAATGAATGGTTTGAATTATAAAAAATGCCACTATTTTTATCTCACCGAATAAATCTCAAATTCTTACAACTATTCTCTGCAAATGTAGACAGTGAAGAAGATGTTAATAGATGGAGAATTATATTCTCACATGAATTTCTCATCTTAAATAATATTATCTGACTTAATATCAATCTGATGAGTCACAAACGCGCTTAAATCTAGAGAAAAGGAAGTGATGAACTGAAAATGATGCGACTATTTCAAAAGATAAATTATGATTTATAGAGTTGACATTTTTCAAAATCAATTCTTTTTCTATGGTCTGAGGTATTTTTTTTCTGCAACCGGACAGAATACTCTGGAATGGAGGAAGAAATAAAAGTGATTCTCAAAAATGTCCATAAGTTAAAGGAACATTTCCCGTTTTTAGTTTCGATACATAAACATAATTTATACAGCTTAGATTTTTTTAAACAAATTCTTTCTTACATTCTAAGTTATTAAATTCAACTGTTTTTTAATTTTGCAACAATAATAATGCGGAAAATGAGTAATAATAATAATATTAAAGTGAACAATTGGTTACTGTAGAATACTCTCAGATAAATGGAAATTTTAGTTTTCGAAAATAGTGAGTCTTTTTTACCAATTGCAATATTCGAAACATAAATTGTCCTTCAGCTTGCGATTTTTTTCAAAACTTACAAAACTGGAATTTTTTCGCCTCTTCATGCTGACTTTGACATTCCCTTCTGTCGTTTTGCTCGTCTGCCGAATCGATCTCCAGCACCCGAGAACCACTTTGAAAGGCGAAGACGACAATCCTTCTCATTCCACTCCTTTCCTAATTTTTCTATCACCGCATCTGAAATTTGCGTTATAAGACAGATTACACGATGACGAATGTTGGATTGAAATTTTCCATGCAATTTTTTCTACTGATGCACATAGGAAAATCGAAGGAATCATGGAATACTCCTTCACGTGTTGTTCATAAAGGAAAAACTGATGAATTGCAGAAAATCCAAAATGTTGTTGGAGATATAACTGAATTTACTGTAATTTCTTCATTACTTGGATAAGAAAATTCATATCGTCCACTTCTCATTCAATTTTCATATTTTTGATCCCGGCATTCGACACTAAAATTTCATAGAAAAATTCCCTGATAATGTAAAGAATATTGGAATAACATCATAATTTTCGATTTAATGTGTAACGACTCTGATGGTTGGCACCCAGAGCTAACCCAGAGTGAACCCAGACTGGGTTGGCACCCAGAGCTAACCCAGAGTGAACCCAGACTGGGTTGTG